TGATAAAAGGTAAATACTATATGATCACATTAACAAATTGCGATAATAACCTCTAGGCTGGGTGCTGGAAGAATTAGCCTGACCTTTTTTGTTTTTGTGTTTTTGTTCAAAAGCTTTAGACATTATGATACCTATGTCAGATATAGAAAAGAGGAGAAGAAACCCGATGTACCATACTATATTCGGGTGACTCCAAAAAAATCCAACTTGGAAATTCGATATGCTCGACCACCTAGGTAAGTGTATCATGAGACACAGAATGACTGACCATAATCCTATAAGGTTATCCAGATAAAACTGCAGGGTCCTCAGTAATCCAATACCCTGGTTCTCTCACTGGCTGTCTGTGTACACAGGAAACCAATGAGAGAAGAACCACAGGTAGAGAAAGATGTCAATGTTCTTTCTTAGCCAACATAACAAATCTCAAATTGGAATATTTAATCACATAACATAACACATTTCTCAGGAGTACTACAGCAACTTGACTTACCAGGTATTACCTAATTTTCATAAAATATGTATTTTAATATAAACAGAAGCTTTAATGGTACAAATTAGACTATTTACTGTAATTACTGTAACCAGAATGAAATTGTAACATAAATGATCTGATAGTGTCACTAACGGCTGTACAATAATGACTGATAGATAACGAGTGATAGGGTAGCTGATGGACTGAAAGTGAGAGGAAAGCTGAAGAGGAATAAGATAAGTGACAAAATGGGCTGATTGATGGAAAGGGAGAAAAGGATATAATTGTTACAACTGTATTTTAACGTTTCCTCTTTTAATTGCAGGGACCCATTCCTTTTCTCTAAGGTGAAGCCTAAATTACTTCCAAAACAATACAAAACAACTAAAAAGGCTGAAAGTGTAAATTATTGTGCAGAGTGTCATAAACAGGATAATATTCTACATCCTGCACCTGTCACAAGTCTAGAGGATATTCCTTATCGGCCTTCTACGGACAGGTAAGTGGACAGTTGCTGCAGGTATATTAGATGGGGTTATTGGAAGATGGGGATCAGAGTTCGATAGAGATTAGAATAAAGGATGGTTTGTTAATGGGCATCATTTCTGGAATTTGAAATAAAATAAAATAAGCAGACATGATATACAGGGGTGTTAAAAAAAAAAGTAAAATATATTGGACTTAAAGGGACACCCTAGTCACCAGAACAATTACAGCTTAATGTAGTGGTTCTGGTGTCTATAGTCTGTCCCTGCAGGTTTTTTTAGTGTATAAAATGTGTTTACATGGCTCCTTAGGGTCACTTCCAGTGGCAGTCACTCAGACAGCCACTATAGGTGCTTCCTGTGGCAGTGCTGCAGAGTGTGTAGCACTGACATTCAGCATCTCCACTCTCTGCATGGAGACACTGAACATTCTTATCAAGACGCATCAATTTATGATTGGCCATGGCAGCATTGCCTTCGTCCCCAGCATGCCTCCTTGGCTGAGATAATCAAAATTGACTAACTCAGTCAATCTAATTCTTTCTTAAGGTAAAGCATTGGATTGGCTGAGATCATCAATTCTGAGTTGGAAAAAAGGTGAGATTTAACCTTTACTGTAGGGGGGCTAAGGCCCTAAATAGTGATATTAAAACTATAGTGTAAGGAATACATATTTGTGTTTCTGACACAATAATGCCTTATTAATTAAATGTGTTTTGACACCCCAAATAGACAGCACCATCCTGGGATGAAATGCAGGATGTAATTAGTCCAGACGTATCAAAGGTTTTACACATCAAATTGAATTATTTAATCATTACAATACAACCCAAATAGCAATGCATAATATCTAATGGCTTCTTGTATCATCTCCTAAACACACTCTGTTATTCCAGAAATATAACATCAATTTATTAATGACCTTTTTGTTTTCTGGTGTGTTTTTCTTCAAATTCTTTAGACATTATAATAACTATGTCAGATTTGGCAAAGAGGAGAAGATTCCCGATGTACCATACTATATTCGGGTGACTCCAAGAGAAACTAACCAACTAATGACATGTGCTCGGCCACCTAGGTAAGTGTATCATGAGACACAGAATGACCGACCATAATCTTATAAGGTTATCCAAATAAACCTTCAGTGTCCTCAGTAAACCAATATCTTGGTTCTCTCACTGGCTGGCTGTGTACACAGGAAACCAATGAGAGAAGAAACACAGATAGAGAAAGATGTCAATGCTCTTTCTGAGCCAACATCACAAATCTCAAATTGGAATATTTAATCATTACAATACAACCCAAATAGCAATGCATAATATCTCATGGCTTCTTGTATCATCTCCTAAACACACTCTGTTATTCCAGAAATATAACATCAATTTATTAATGACCTTTTTGTTTTCTGGTGTGTTTTTCTTCAAATTCTTTAGACATTATAATAACTATGTCAGATTTGGAAAAGAGGAGAAGATTCCCGATGTACCATACTATATTCGGGTGACTCCACGAGAAACTAACCAACTAATGACATGTGCTCGGCCACCTAGGTAAGTGTATCATGAGACACAGAATGACGGACCATAATCCTATAAGATATACATACAATATAAGGTGGAGTATATAAATAGGAGTTCTTCCAAATACAATTTTCTTGTATATTGGCAGAACAATTAGACCTTTAAAAGTGAGAATAGCGGAACATATTAAAAATATACGAAATTGCTTAGAGACCCACAATGTATCATTACACTTTAAACAGGTCCACGACCAAAACCCTGAAAATTTGTTCTTTTGTGCAATAAAAGAAATAAAAAGAGATTGGAGAGGGGGAAACTATATTAAAACTTTAGGGAAAGAAGAAATGAGTTTTATTTTTCGATTTAAAACTCTGATACCATATGGACTTAATGCAGATTTTGAAGTATGTCATTTTTAATTAATCAATCTTTAACATATTATTTTTTATTCGGTATTTTACATTATATTTTATTATAATACATTAAATTTTAAACAAATGGCCCTTTTATCATATATTTATAGAATTCTCTTTCTTCTTTCTTATTAAATTTATAATTAATTTATATATATATTTATAACATCTGTCTGTATTTATATATATAATACAAAACATAAAAAGCCTTTATGAAATACATATTTTTAAACACCTCTATTAGTGTAAGGGGAAAATTAGAAGAGAACAGATCCTTACATATGTTTTTACATAAAGTCCTCAAATGTATTTTAGGAAGGAGGTTATTATTATAAACCCCATTACAAGCCATCTCATATGAGAGGTAATTGAATTATAAAGGCTTTTTATGTGTATTTACTGGATTAATTATTTTTATTAATTGAGATGTTGAACTCTGATGAAAGATACCGGACTTTGGAAAAGAAGTGTCTCTAAATAAGTCACGTGACGTTCGCGATGTATGGAGCGCGCCACGTGACATTTGCGTTCCACGGATGGAACGCAAAGGCCGCAAACCGGAAGAGGAAGAGAAATCAAAGATACTGATGTTGTGGAACGCATTACGTGACACGTGCGTTCCACAGGTGGAACGCAAAAACCAGGAAGAAGAAGTAAAAATGAATCCCTAATCACTAGGGAAGCCGGAAGGGGTGAAAAGAACAGCCAAAAGGGAGGATATTTAAATGGACCACCAGGAGATTACAATTAGCAACTGAGGAAGCCTCATATTGAGGCGAAACGCGTTTTGCAAACAACCATAAGGACTACCTTCAGACTGTAAGGTTTTTTTACTCACTTCTAAAGCTTTTAAAAAAATTTGTGCACTTTATTGAATAAAGCACTTTATTGTTTTGAGAAGAGATCCTGTTATTGAGATATCCCAGATTATAACAAGAAGGGAGTGGGCCCCTTAAGTACCCACAGTGCTTCAATTTTTGAGCCTATCCAGAGGCTCTATGTTTGTGAGTGCTTCACTATCTATATACTACAATAATATATTGAGTATTGGCAATATTGCACTATTCCTTTTTCCCTATTTGTGTTCAAACCTAGGGAACTACTAAAGGACATTATCCTGTTGAAAATTGTATTTGGAAGAACTCCTATTTACAGGGAGTGCAGAATTATTAGGCAAGTTGTATTTTTGAGGATTAATTTTATTATTGAACAACAACCATGTTCTCAATGAACCCAAAAAACTCATTAATATCAAAGCTGAATATTTTTGGAAGTAGTTTTTAGTTTGTTTTAGTTATAGCTATGTTAGGGGGATATCTGTGTGTGCAGGTGACTATTACTGTGCATAATTATTAGGCAACTTAACAAAAACAAATATATACCCATTTCAATTATTTATTATTACCAGTGAAACCAATATAACATCTCAACATTCACAAATATACATTTCTGACATTCAAAAACAAAACAAAAACAAATCAGTGACCAATATAGCCACCTTTCTTTGCAAGGACACTCAAAAGCCTGCCAACCATGAATTCTGTCAGTGTTTTGATCAGTTCACCATCAACATTACGTGCAGCAGCAACCACAGCCTCCCAGACACTGTTCAGAGAGGTGTACTGTTTTCCCTCCTTGTAAATCTCACATTTGATGATGGACCACAGGTTCTCAATGGGGTTCAGATCAGGTGAACAAGGAGGCCATGTCATTAAATTTCCTTCTTTTATACCCTTTCTTGCCAGCCACGCTGTGGAGTACTTGGACACGTGTGATGGAGCATTGTCCTGCATGAAAATCATGTTTTTCTTGAAGGATGCAGACTTCTTCCTGTATCACTGCTTGAAGAAGGTGTCTTCCAGGAACTGGCAGTAGGACTGGGAGTTGAGCTTGACTCCATCCTCAACCCGAAAAGGCCCCACAAGCTCATCTTTGATGATACCAGCTCAAACCAGTACTCCGCCTCCACCTTGCTGGCGTCTGAGTCGGACTGCAGCTCTCTGCCCTTTACCAATCCAGCCACGGGCCCATCCATCTGGCCCATCAAGACTCACTCTCATTTCATCAGTCCATAAAACCTTAGAAAATCAGTCTTGAGATATTTCTTGGCCCAGTCTTGACGTTTCAGCTTGTGTGTCTTGTTCAGTGGTGGTCGTCTTTCAGCCTTTCTTACCTTAGCCATGTCTCTGAGTATTGCACACCTTGTGCTTTTGGGCACTCCAGTGATGTTGCAGCTCTGAAATATGGCCAAACTGGTGGCAAGTGGCATCGTGGCAGCTGCACGCTTGACTTTTCTCAGTTCATGGGCAGTTATTTTGCGTCTTGGTTTTTCCACACGCTTCTTGCGACCCTGTTGACTATTTTGAATGAAACGCTTGATTGTTCGATGATCACGCTTCAGAAGCTTTGCAATTTTAAGAGTGCTGCATCCCTCTGCAAGATATCTCACTATTTTTGACTTTTCTGAGCCTGTCAAGTCCTTCTTTTGACCCATTTTGCAAAGGAAAGGAAGTTGCCTAATAATTATGCACACCTGATATAGGGTGTTGATGTCATTAGACCACACCCTTCTCATTACAGAGATGCACATCACCTAATATGCTTAATTGGTAGTAGGCTTTTGAGCCTATACAGCTTGGAGTAAGACAACATGCATAAAGAGGATGATGTGGTCAAAATACTCATTTGCCTAATAATTCTGCACTCCCTGTATATACTCCACCTTATATTGTATGTATATCTTTGGGTTTTTGTGGGAATAGAGGGAATACCCACATAAGGTATTTAGAGTATTTTTGGCATTTTGGTTTCACTCACTGGGATATTGCAACACCACATAATCTTATAAGGTTATCCAAATAAACCTTCAGTGTCCTCAGTAAACCAATACCCGGGTTCTCTCACTGGTTGTCTGTGTACACAGGAAACCAATGAGAGAAGAAACACAGATAGAGAAAGATGTCAATGTTCTTTGTGAGCCAACATCGCAAATCTCAAATTGGAAAATTTAATCATTACAATACAACCCAAATAGCAATGCATAATATCTCATGGCTTCTTGTATCATCTCCTAAACACACTCTGTTATTCCAGAGATATAACATCAATTTATTAATGACCTTTTTGTTTTCTGGTGTGTTTTTCTTCAAACCCTTTAGACATTATAATAACTATGTCAGATTTGGCAAAGAGGAGAAGATTCCCGATGTACCATACTATATTCGGGTGACTCCACGAGAAACTAACCAACTAATGACATGTGCTCGGCCACCTAGGTAAGTGTATCATGAGACACAGAATGACTGACCATAATCCTATAAGGTTATCCAAATAAACCTTCAGTGTCCTCAGTAAACCAATACCCTGGTTCTCTCACTGGCTGTCTGTGTACACAGGAAACCAATGAGAGACGAACCACAGATAGAGAAAGCTGTCAATGTTCTTTCTAAGCCAACATCACAAATCTCAAATTGAATTATTTAATCATTACAATACAACCCAAATAGCAATGCATAATATCTAATGGCTTCTTGTATCATCTCCTAAACACACTCTGTTATTCCAGAGATATAACATCAATTTATTAATGACCTTTTTGTTTTCTGGTGTGTTTTTCTTCAAACCCTTTAGACATTATAATAACTATGTCAGATTTGGCAAAGAGGAGAAGATTCCCGATGTACCATACTATATTCGGGTGACTCCACGAGAAACTAACCAACTAATGACATATGCTCGGCCACCTAGGTAAGTGTATCATGAGACACAGAATGACCGACCATAATCCTATAAGGTTATCCAAATAAACCTTCAGTGTCCTCAGTAAACCAATACCCTGGTTCTCTTACTGGCTGGCTGTGTACACAGGAAACCAATGAGAGAAGAACCACAGATACAGTGATCACAAATCACTGAGGAGTACTACAGAAAGTGACTTACCAGGCATTACCTAATTTCTATAAGATATGTATTTTAATATAAACAGAAGCTTTAATGGTACAAAGTAAACTATTTACTGGAATTACTGTAACCAGAATGTAATGTGCGTAACATAAATGATCTGATAGGGTCACTATAAGCTGTGCAATAATGACTGATAGATAACGAGTGATAGGGTAGCTGATGGACTGAAAGTAAGAGGAAAGCTGAAGAGGAATAAGATAAGTGACAAAATGGGCTGATGGATGGAAAGGGAGAAAAGGATATAATTGTTACAACTGTATTTTAACTTTTCCTATTTTTTAATTGCAGAGACCAATTCCTATTCTCTAAGGTAAAGCCTACATTACGTCCAAAACAATATAAAACAACTAAAAAGGCTACAAATGTCCAAGAAAAAGAAGTAGACAAAAAAGAACTGGAAAATGAAAAAAAGTATTCTGCAGAGTATTGTAAACACAATATTATTCCACAGCCTGAAGCGGTCACAAGTGTAGAGGATATTCCCTGTCACTTGCTGCAGGCAAGGTCTCTAGAGCCTACAGAGGTTATCACACATCTAGAAGACAACACTTCTCTAGAATGCCCTGTTTCTACTATTGAACCTCATTCAAGTGGATTGACAGAGGAGTTGCCAGTAAACCTTGGTCAGCCACAGTCCACTTTACATTGTCCACCTGAGTCTGCAAATCTAGATTCTCAGAACCCAGTTACAGTTATTTTACTACAGTCCAGCTTTCTAGAGCCTACAGAGGTTATCACACATCTAGAAGACAACACTTCTCTAGAATGTCCTGTTACTACTATCGAACCTCATACAAGTGGATTAACAGAGGAGTTGCCAGTAAACCTTGGTCAGCCACAGTCCACTTTAGGTTGTCCATGTGAGCCTACAAATCTAGATTCTCAGAACCCAGTTACAGCTATTTTACTACAGCCTACCTCTCTAGAGCCTACAGAGGTTATCACACATCTAGAAGACAACACTTCTCTAGAATGCCCTGTTACTACTATCGGACCTCATACAAGTGGATTGATAGAGGAGTTGCCAGTAAACCTTGGTCAGCAACAGTCCACTTCGGATTGTCAACCTGAGCCTATGAACCAAGATTCCCGGGAGGCTGTCAAAGATCAAGATCCAGGTATTCTGTTAGTGGGCCCAGTTTGTCATGCCAAATCAGGCACTAGTGAAATGTCAGAGGAGCTGCCAGTAAACCTTGGTCAGCCACAATCCACTTTGGATTGTCAACCTGAGCCTATGAATCTACATTCTCGGGAGGCTGTCAAAGATCAAGATCCAGGTATTCTTCTAGTGGGCCCAGTTTGTCCTGCCAAATCAAGCACTGGTGAAATGTTAGAGGAGCTACCAGTAAGCTCTGACATTGTGAGTTATCACTCCAAAACTACTTTGGATTGCCCCACTGTTCAGCCAGAGGGGTTGCTTCTATTCAATCAAAAGGTTACGCTTGAGCAGGAACAAAGTGAGATGAAGAATAATCAGCCAGGAAAACATGTGTGTCTGAGAAGTGACCATGAAGAGCAGCCATTGCCAGAAGACAAAGAAAAAGAGCCACCTGGTGAGGCTGATATAGTTGAAAAGAAAAGTCAAGACCTTCCAGTACCTGTACTCCAAGAGAAGAAAAATATTGAATCAAAGGTGGAAAGGATACACTACGACAGGGAATCTTTACTTAAATTCAAATCTATAACACAAGAGCCAAGGGATTTGTCTGAGATTGCAAAACTCTACCAAGGTATGCTCATTAGACCTCACCTTCGACCAGTAGATCCATCACAATTTACCAACAGGAAATGTACACCTCTAACTGCAAATTTCATCCACCCTGCTAAGGATAATTACAGACTGCCATGTGGAATGGGCCAAATGAGGTCTCCGCAAGCTCCTGGTACAGAACTTCGCAAAATCCTTCAAGTAAGTGAGAATGTAAAACCGCATACATCTGAAAAGGCTTGGAAACCTCCCATGAAAAGAGCAAATGAAGATCACACTCTTGCCAAGGCTCAAGAATTGGTTCGCAAAGTTCGCAGCATTCTTAATAAAATCACACCTCAGACATTCCAGCACTTAACCAAGCAGGTGAAAGACCTCTCTATACATACAGAATATCAACTGAAAGGTGTTGTAGAAGTCATATTTGAAAAAGCAGTAGCAGAGCCACATTTTGCTGTTGTATACGCCAGCATGTGCAACTGGCTAATGATGCTTGAGGTCCCAACGGAAGACAACCCTGAAGAAAGCATTACATTCCGTAGGCTGCTAATAAGACTCTGCCAGAAGGAGTTTGAGAGAGTTGAAAATGGGAATGAAAGAACTGAGAAACTGCAAAAGGAACTGGATGCTGCCACGTCACCGAGAGAAAAGGCCCTACTAAAAGAAGAATTAAGTGATGCTTGTAATAAAGCACGCAGGCGATACCAAGGAAACATCAAATTTATTGGGGAGCTATTTAAATTAAAATTACTCTCAGAGGACACCATGAAAGACTGCCTAATGAAACTACTAAACAGGAACAGCGAGGAGTCATTGGAATGTATCTGCATTTTGCTCACTACAACTGGAAAATCCTTGGAAAATGGACAGTGTCGCTTGGACAACTATATCAGCAAGATTGACATCTTTATTAAAAACCAGAAAACCTCTTCGCGGATTCGATTTTTGGTGCAGGATATGATGGAATTAAGAAAAAATAACTGGGTACCTCGACATACACCTCAGGGACCGAAAACAATAGAGCAAATTCATAAAGAGGTAGAACTGGAATCTAGACGAAAAGAGCAGTGAAACAAACAAAAAGGCTACTCATTGCAAGGACACATGGATAAACACAACGTATGCACAGGGACAAGGCTGCAGATTCCTTCACATAAATACATTCAAAATCATTCAGGCAACAACACCAACTTTTATGCACAAAGAAACACATATACACAAGCACAAACATTTATCAAAGACAAATTCAGACAATCCTGCAAAGTCAAACACAAACAGTCATACACTGCCTATCGGTAGGTTTAACACTTGAGCAAACAAAATATTTATTCAGATACAAAGGCAATCCCATGTTATGAAACAAACACATTAACGGTGGCATAAAAACATGATTTAGAATTGCACTTGGTAGTTTCATCATTGCCAAATAAAATACACAGTGAAACTCACATTAACAACATGCATGGTTCACTGGCCTTCACACTTATCAGAACCACCATTGTTTTCCTACACACATATATTTTGTATATTGTTAATTTTATTAAAACATTAAATTATTTTTTTCAAATTTATCCTGTTATACTGATTTCGGTTTGTTCTTTGGAGTGGTTTATTTCCGTGGCCGGTGCTAGGTTTCAAATATTTTTTTATTTTTTTTATTCTTTATTTTTCCATCTTGGCGGACAAAATGATACGACATTAGTTTACAGGCTTACGCAGAAGCCATAGAGTAAGACATTTACATGTACTTCATTTCAAAAAAGACATCCTGTAACAAAGCGTGCTATACATTATTGCTAACATCGTCTCTGTCCGTCAAGGAATTTTTATGAATTTTTTTATAAACAAAAGTAAACTCAAGAAAGTAAATAGGTTTAACCTTCCATTTCACTCATTGTCAGCAAGTACTCCAGTGATCTTAGTAGCTGCATCTAGAATAACCAAGTATCAACGATTGGGCTTGCGCAGAAGCCAAAGTGTGGGTAACATCTTAACAGTCACATGAAGTTCAATCTTTACAGAATGTGCTCATATTCAAAGGATCCATGGGGGTTTATCCTCTTTAAAGGATTTTTAATATTGTAATTCCCCAGTTTAATTTATCGGTTTGTCTGGAATACTTAGGTGTGGGAGGGAAGCGTCCCTGACCCAGCGGCAATTTGAGGTCTACCGATGAGCTATATACTGTTTCATATGTCGTGTAAGTCTTGTGTCGTTATTATTATAACTATATTGTCAGTATCTAATCCGTGGTTTGATAGGTCCTTAGATATACGTAGAGGATTAATAGTCTGAGGTTTATCTGGGGTATCTAGGGTTCCCTTTACGTTCGTTACGTTGACCTTGTCTGAGGAGGTTGGTATGCAGAGTAAGTAGCGGATATGAAATGGATTTTTCCCGTATAGGCGCGGGAAGAGAAAAAGCAAGAGTTAAGAAAGAAGGGGAGACTGAGAAAGTGGTGTAAGGTAAGGGAGCATTGTGTGGTGACTGCGGTGACCCAGAGGTGGCGAGGGAGGTACGTCCAGAAGGTGGCGGGGGGGCAGCAGGTTCAGCCCGATCTCCCTAGGCCAAGTATGTCGGTTGGATCTCCGTGTAGGAGGACTCCGCAACTGTTTTAGCTTTATTGTAAAGACCCCTTTACATCTTTCGTTTATTCCTATATGACCTCTCTAGAGCCTACTACGCTGTTATCCCAGGGTTCCCAGAGTTTTAGAAATGTTTCTGTTGATCCCTTCACTCTCGCTGTTAAGTCGTCCATAATCCTACATTCGCGGATCCTGGATATCACTATCGGAAACTCGGGTGAGTCTGGTGAAAGCCATCTCATCGCAATTGTTTTCCTTGCGCTTAGGGTTATTTTATGGACTAGTTTCTGTTCTCTCTTGGTCCATCCGTCCACCGACCTGTTTAGGAGGTATACCCATGGATCTCTGGTCAGGGGTTTATTAAATGTTTGTTTTAGTAGGTTTTCTGTTTCTTTCCAGAATCCAGAAAGTTTGGGGCATTCCCACCACATGTGAAGGTATGTACCTCGGGCTCCGCATCCCCTCCAGCAATCATCGGTGTCCGTTTTGTGCATTTTATAAAGTTTTACTGGGGTTGTGTACCACCTAAACATGGTCTTCCATGTCTGTTCCTGTAGCGTAACACATATGGAGGCGTTTTTATTTGCTTCCCAAATTTCTTGCCATTCTACGCCTTCTAGTTCTTCTCCTAGTTCTATCTCCCATTGGTCGGTGTAAGATAGTCTCCCCCATTCTTTGGTTTCTGTGCTAAGGTGGGCGTACATTAGGGTTATCATGCCCTTGGGGGTCCTTTCGTGAAGGCATAGTTTCTCGTAGAACGTCATATGTCCTTGAGCTGCAGCCTTTATGTGTGATTTCCTAGCGAAGTCTCGAATCTGTATATATCTGAGGAAATCCGCGGGAGTTAGGTGGTTGTCTTGTTGAAGGTCCGTAAATTGGATTAAGTTCCCATTATGATATAATTGATGGATCCGTTGTAGACCCGTTCTCTCCAAGTTTCGGAAATCTTTAGGAGCCATACCGGGTTGGAACTCTCTATTTCTTAGAATTGGAGTCAATGGAGAGGGGGAGGTCGCCAGTCCATACTTGGTTCTATTTTTGTCCCAGATTTGGAGCGAATTAAGTATGGACGGGCAAGTCACCCGTATCAAGGGTCGATAGTCTTTCGGGATCCACATAGTGAACTGGGGGATGTCCCATCCCACCATCATGGATTCTATTTCGACCCATCTCCGCTCTTCCGGAGGGGAATGCCACATAGCTATCTGTGTTAGTTGGGCTCCAAGATAATAGAAGTATAGGTTTGGGAGGCCCAGTCCCCCTCTTTCTTTTCGTCTGTAGAGAATCTGTCTTGATATCCTGTGCCTCTTGTTCTGCCATATGAAGTCAGCTATCGACCGTTGAAGTGGGTTCAGTTGTGCTTTGGTAACGTGGATTGGGAGAGCTTGGAATAAGAATAAAATCCTCGGGAGGACGTTCATTTTAACAGAGTTAATCCGTCCTATCCAGGAGATAGGCTTATCTGTCCACCTTTCTAAGTCTCCTATCAACTTCCTAATTAGGGGGCCATAGTTCTCGGAATAGAGGCGTGTCGGGTCCGTAGTTAGGTGTATACCCAGGTATTTCATAGACTCTCTTTCCATCCTGATACGGTAGGTCAGTTGTATGTGATTTATGTCTGCCTCAGTCATGCCAATTGGCATAGCGCTAGATTTTTGCATATTGGCATTATAACCAGACCATTCCCCGTAGTCCTTGATAACGTCTTGGAGGGCCGACATGGATGTCGAGGGGTTCGTGATGGTCAACAGAACGTCGTCTGCGTATGCTGAGACTGTAAACTTTTTGTCCCCTACCCTGACTCCTCCAATATCTGGATGTTGTCTGATCGCTTGCATCAAAGGCTCTAGTGCTAGTACAAACAGGAGTGGGGAAAGTGGGCACCCCTGCCTAGTGCCATTGTAGAGCCGAAAAGGTGTCATCGGGGCACCAGTGAGCTGTATCTGTGCTCTCACCTCATGGTACATTGCTTTTGTAGTAGTTATGAATTCTTTCGGGAACCCCAGGTGGTTCAGCACCGAAAAGAGGAATTGCCATCTCACTTTGTCAAAGGCCTTTTCTGCATCTATAGAGACCACTAGGGTAGGGATTTTAGATGTCACTTGTTTCCAGATTAGGTCAATATTCCTTCTAGTATTCTCGAACAGCTGTCTGCCCTGAATAAAGCCTACTTGGTCGGCATGTACGAGTGAGTTTAGTAGCGGATTTAATCTGTCTGCTTGTATTTTTGCTATTATTTTTAGATCTTGGTTAATCAATGATATGGGTCTGTAGTTTCCTGGTTGGAGCGCGTCTTTGTCAGGTTTAGGTATCAGTACTATGGTAGCTAGGGTCATGTCTGGAGGGAGAAGTCCTCCCTGTTTCATGTAGTCAAAGAGTTTCATTAGTTGGGGTGTAAGTTCTTCTTTGAAGGTTTTATAGTATGTACCTTCGAATCCATCCGGGCCTGGAGCTTTGTTACCTTTCAAGGTAGATATGGCTCTGTATACTTCTTCCTCTGTAATTTCGGCTGACAGGTTGTCCACCGCGTCTCTCCCTAGTTTGGGCAGGCCGAGGTTATTTAAGTAGCTGTTAATATGGTCTTCTTCACTTCCGTCAGGAGTGTGTGCGTCTGGTGTGTGGTTGTACAGTTTTTTGTAAAAGTCCTCAAAGACTTTGGCTATCTCGTCGGGCTTTGATTTCGTCGTTCCATCCGGATGTTTGATGGCCGTGATGTGGGATCGTTCTTGTCTAGGTCGCAGTGTTCGGGCTAGAAGTGAGTCCGTCTTATTGGATTTCTCGTAATAAGTCCGTTTCGTCCATATCATGGATTGGGCGGTATCGTCCAGTAGGAGTGTGCGGATGTCCCTCCGAACCGCTACCAGTTTCTTATAGATCTCATTGTCGGGTGTTGCTTGATGTTTTTGTTCAAGATTCCTTAATTGATCTAACAGGGTCTCCAGTTGCTTATGTTTCATCTTCTTTTTCCTAGTGGCTAGTTTTATAAGGGTCCCTCTTATAACCACTTTATGGGCCGCCCATATCGACCCTGCGCTAACATCCGGGGTATTATTTGTGGTAAAATATTCCACTATTTCAGTCCGTATCTGTTCTTTGAGCTCCGGGTCTCTTAGTAGCGATGTGTTTAATCTCCACGTCCACGGCGAGGCCAAACACAAGTTGCCCAATATAATGGACACGTCCGCATGGTCCGACCATGATATATTGCCAATCGCAGAGCTTGTAATCCTGGGCATGCCTGTCGCGTTAGTTAGGAATAAGTCTATCCTGGAGTATGTGCCATGAGGTGTTGAGTAGAAGGAGTAATCCCTGTCTCCTGGGTGGTGTGCTCGCCATACATCTGTTAGGCCCACGTCTAGTATAAAGTTTTTGAGCAGTCGGTCTTGTCCACCCCTTCCATGGGATCTCGGTGTTCCGTCTTTAGTGCTCCTGTCCGCTGCCGGGCATGGGGTGGCGTTGAAATCTCCTCCCATATAGACCATGCCA